AAGTTCAACTACGGTTGAACCAAGACTCAGGCTAAGCGCCTTCGTCATTAAATCTAGGCTATGCGCCTTCGCCAAGAAGTTCAACTACGGTTAAACCAAGACTAATGCTAAGCGCCTTCGTCATTAAATCAAGGCTATGCGCCCTCGCCAAGAAGTTCAACTACGGTTGAACCAAGACTCAGGCTAAGCGCCTTCGTCATTAAATCAAGGCTATGCGCCCTCGCCAAGAAGTTCAACTACGGTTAAACCAAGACTCAGGCTACGCGCCTTCGCCATCAAAATCAACCAAGTTCAACAACAGTTGAACTGGGACTCAGGCTACGCGCCTTCGCCATCAAAATCGACCAAGTTCAACAACAGTTGAACTAGGGCTCAGGCCATGAGCCTTCGCCACCCAAACCGGCTAAGTTCAACAACAATTGAACTAGGACTCAGGCTATGCGCCTTCGCCAAGAAGTCCAAATACAGTTGAACCATGACTCAGGCTACGCGCCTCCAAATTGTATCAAGCCCATACGTCTTCGCCAGTAAGTTTAGCTACGGTCGAACCAAGACTCAGGCTACGCGCCTTCGCCATCAAACCCAACGAGTCCGACCTCGCTTGAACCATAAGGCTAGACGCCTTCATCCTCAAATATAACAAGTTCAACCACAGTTGAACCAGGACTCGGACCAAGCGCCGTCATCATTGAACTCAGCGAAAACCAACCTCCAACGAATCGAGGCACAGGTTAGGCGCCCACGCCCTTCAAGTAAGTACTCCCAACTCAAACTAAGATTGGGGACACGTGAAGTCCGGCCCCGGTCAAACTACAAGGCCGCGTTTCTGTAATCACGGCCGACAGTTCGACCGCGCCCGAACTGGGACTAAGGCTAAGTGCCACTATCGCCAAGCAACGGCTCCGACTCGCTCACCCCGAGTCGAAGAAGAAAATTCGTCAGCAATTAAAAACTAACAGGCCTACCAGAGTCGAACTCGAAGGCAAATCACCCCTTTGAGCGCATGCAAAGAAAAATCTAAAGGGGAAAATGAGGAGGTACAAAACAGATACAAAGCAAATAACGGAGCAGAGATCTCATTTATCCACGAAATTAATTACGGGTCATCCCCGCTTACACCCGGCCAAGGCCGATCAATACAAGGAAAGAGAAAAAGAGAAGAAAAAATGCATAACATCTTTTTACTCGGCGCCATCTGCGCCACCATCTGCCTCTGGCATCGCCACGTCAAAACCACAATCGGCACGGGCCTCGCGAGCCTTTTGACGCGCCCCCTCGAAAGCAGCTTCGGTCACGACGCCGGCCTCCCACAAATTCTTATATACATCGCGTTGGGCCTCGGGAAAGACCCAAAGTTCTCGAGCCTGGCTGGAAGAAGCGGCTTGATCCCGTAGGCACTGATTTTCTTCTTCTAAGGCTGTGATCCGGTCCGCCATGACGTGAGCGTCCTGCTCAAAGACACCAATCCGCTCCTCGAGACTCGCTTCTCTAAAGGCCTCAGGATCCCTCTCCAACGCCCATTGGGACTCGTGCACGCGGATAGCTTCCGGCAGCTCCCCAGCCCTCGACGAGGCATCCCTCACCTGAAGCTTCAATACCGCGACTTCACCCTCCAACGCAGTCACTTTCCTGCCCCATGCCGCAGTCGCCTCCGCCGCCTTAGCCTGGCCCTGGCGCTCACACTCAGCTGCGGCCCTCTTTACCGCCTCGAGCTCCTCATCCTTCCAGCGGAGCTGCTCCTCGAGAGCACTCGTTCTGCCAAGTGTTTGTTGCATCTGAAGCTCCCGCCTCGCCAGCTCCTCGACCAAGGCCCGGCTACGGGGATCATTCCTCAAGCGCACGCGCAACTATCGTCACTGATCTCGGTAGCGGCGATACTTCTCCAGCGCCCGCAAAAATATCCCCAAGCGGACCTTGGCTCGACGGATGCTCTCCACCTCCAACAAATAAGACTGCAAAGCAAAGACAACGATTAGGATAAAGAACAAACTAAGGAAAAGAAGAAGCAAACCGCATAATAGTACATACCCTCAAGCCCATCACGGCCACTTCATTCATCAGTCCGATATCCGTAACGCCCCTCAACGACGCATTCTCGGCCTCCGAGCATAGCAGCTCGAACTGCGGCACCAATCTTTCACCTTGGAGAAATAAGTTCAACTCCGTAGGAACCTCGATGAAGCGAGATCGCCCCTCTGCGCGCACCGGTGAATTGGTGAAGCCTTCTTGGAACATACGGACGTCGTCGGGGTCCAAGTCGGATTCAGACTCGTACTCACCCTCTACAGCATCTCTTCCTCCTTCAGCCGCCGGCGAGGTGGAATCTCCCGCCGCAGCCGCCAAAGGGCTGCTTAAATCACCAACATTACCAGCCGCTAAGGAACTACCTCCCGTCTCAGCGACTGGAACCACCAACTGAGTCGCCGAAGCGACGGCACCCTCATGGCCTAAGCCAGCCAGGGCAACCCCCATTGACTGTTCGCCCTCAAGAGCAGGCGCCGCGACCGCACCCCTCTCTGCATCCGTCGGAGGGGAGTCCAGATTGATTACCACAGGAGGAGCCGGCGTGAACACAACCCTACGCCTTATCAAGGGCCTCTCCTCCTCCCCGTCTGATGATGATTCCGCCCTAGGGCGCACAACCCCCGATGGCCCCTCATCCCGAAGCACGGCCCATGCTGGAGAAGGAACCGCTGAAGATTCAACTGATGCCGCCCTCAGTATTGAGCGCGACACAGGCACCGCAGTAAGTCGAGCGACTGCACCCGGCCGACGGAAGGCCAACTGAGGGGCCATGACGCGGCGTGCCCTCCCTGATCACAGAAAAACAAAGTTGAGAAATAGTGTTGAAACAAAGCGGAACAGAAGAAGAAGTCAATTTTTTTTACCTGCCACAGGTCTACGGCCATGCCTCTCCCAGAAAGACGCCCGTGTGCGTATCCCCACCGTATGGGGGATCACGACCTCGACCCATCCGCGAATCCCAGCTAACGGAGCCGGCGGCGATTTTTCGGCTACAAAATTGACACGAGTTAACGCTTACGATAATAAGACGTAAGGAGGGGTAGAAAAAAAGGATTCAATGGCTAAGGAACTTACGTGCATGATTCCAAGCCTCTGGGAATCCAGTAGAGCACGCCACTAAATGTTCAGTCCTGATGTAGAAGAAGTGCTCGAAAGGGCGAGGTTCAACCTCATCATCCAGCTTCGCAGTCAGGCCCCTCGTCCCGCGAGGGCACGCTCGAATCATGGTACCACGAACTCTCTGGGGAGCGTAGAGGCTAAGCACATGCTGCAGCGTGATCTCCCTACCAGCCAATTCTGCGTATTTGATGAGCATTGCTAACAACTTGTAAAGAGAAGGAGTAAGCTGACCGGGCATACCCCGTAATAACGACAGAAATTAACCACCAGCATTGGGAGCGGGAGCTTAAACCCCAACTTAAAGGGGTAGACGTAAAAGACGCAGTATCCCCTACGGTCGGTGTGGACCCTCTCCTCGCTTCTAGCGAGAATGACGTCAGCATAGCCGGGGATGACCCCCTGTCCCCGTAGTCGGGACATCCCAATCTCCCCCATTAATGGGGCTTCATCCACCTGATCCTCCCCACCATCGGCGGTGAAATCAGTCATCGGACCTCCGGGCAGAGGTACTATCTCGTCAACCGACGGAGCTTCACCGGTCTCCACCAGTTCTGCATCGCCCATTGCCGGAAATGGCCCCTCGGTCACTGTTTTGAGTTAACCGGAAGATCCGTCGGAAGAACGTTTTGGGAAGAAATGCCTGCCATTGTTGATACAATAACGAGAAGAACAAGGTTCGGGGACGAAGCGAAGGTGAACAGCGGTAAGAAAGCTTCTTCAGAATCT